GCTATGGTTGGCAGGACGGAGTGGTCATCCTTCTACAGGTTCTTTGCGTCAAATTTGAAGTGTGTAAAAGAGTGTTTTTATCTCAAATAACCAATGGTAAATAATTAAGTTCACATCTCTGCAGTTTTAACAGAAAAACTGTTCTGATTTTTCATTTATCAAAACAAAGTTCACAAATTGAAACCCAGTCAAAATCAGTCCAGAACAGCACAATGAGGTGTTTTAATTTCTGAAATATCTTATTACCAGCATAACTCGTCCCTCTCATACTACAATGCAACAAACGTTGACCTCTTTTTAAATAGTTTTACACTTTAACCAAACTGCCAACATTATTTTAAAGCTACAGTGTGTAACTTTTAGCGACATCTAGCGGTCAGACTGCAGACCGCAGCAACATGAACATCTCCCCCCCCACCGCTTCTCCCCCCAAACAGTACGGCGAGCGTTATGGGACAAAATGTCTTCCACGACGTCCGCATCACCTACCTTCTCAAGTGATGAGGTTTGTTTACATAGATAATTTTACAGATAGTATTTCATTAGTCTGTGTAGGGTATAGATTTCACGTAGACTTAAGATAATAAATACCGGTATACCCGTTATTTTTTCTACATCGTTGTGACGTTTTGGCGATCTCGCAATCGCTAGTTTGTTGGCTCTGCGCTGCCGCAGCGCAAAGATGTCTGCCTCCATGGCTGCGAGACTCGCTCCTATGTAATTATAAATAACGAATTCTAAGGCAACGCAAATATTAAGGTTAAGAGGCTGAGCTCGTAGATGATGATAAATAACATAGTTATGTATAATATATTACATTTCTGACTGTATATCCCTGTAATTATTACACACTGTAGCTTTAATTAAATAATCTAATTGCCAAAATTCCCAATGTCTCTTCTTTTTTTATTTACATGATGATATAAACCGAATAAATTAACTAACAAAACCTTTTATTTTATCCTAATCTTAACATTCAATAGGTTTACTCCTGAAATAAAAAAGGCACTTTATGGAGATTATAAATAAATCATTATCTGACTGATTTCCATTGCTTCTATTCAAAAAAAAAAAAAAAAAAAAATCAGGTACAAGTAAAGAAACAACAAAAAAAAAAACTAGAATCTATAAGCTTATTCTGATTTTTAAAATATAAATGTTTCAGTTGCCCCTCATACTCTCACACTAACCTCTTCATCATTTTGCTGCTTTGTTTTATAACTTCAGTCTGTTTGTTTCCATCCCTGCTGAAGTGAAAAACGTGCTTGAAAATCCTTGTTGTTCTAATTAGATCCTGACAAAAGAAGAGAAACAGGAGCGACGAGGAGAAAAAAATGAGGCAACTGTGCGTCAGTCTTTGCAAGCATTTCTGAATCCTGTTGGGTTCCTGCAGAGCAGGTACAGAAAAAAAAACAAAAAAAAACAAAGTTTTTGAGAAACACAATGAGAAATAAAAATGACATCATCTGGTAAATTAAATGTAATTTATAAATATTCTAAAATTAGGAATTATGTTATGAGTATAATTATACCTTATGTTAAACATAATATAGAACATTTTATCCTGTGAAAAGGTACCGAATGACTTACAAGCAGTCTTACCTTTTAGCGCTTTTATGCTTTATGGGTTGTTTAGCAGCAACGTGGAGAACAGAAACTAGTGTGTTATTATCAGAATGGAAGAATGTATGGTTAAATTTTCAAATACGGTTGTAGAAGCAAGGACTCATTTTTTTGTCTTGTCTCTAAGGGTAGGGTGGATGTGTTAGAGGTATGTGTGGGCCTGTGTGGGTGGTGCTGGAAGTGGGTGGGTGTCTGGAGCTGAATGATTGTTTAATGAATGTGCTGGCTAAGGCAGGGTGCCAATATTTCTGATGACCGCAAGTTTAAAGTTCCATAAGTTTCCAAGTCTATTTATTGTACAATCCTTCACAGAAAAAGGGTACAATAATCATCCTTAACTGCAGTATAGTTACTTACAACGAGAATCACTTACAACGGTTATATTTCTATGTTCTCAGTTTAAAACATCCAGAAGTTTTCGTGCCATCATGAAACCACCAAAACATGTTAGATATAAAGAAGGTTGCTTTTACCAGCAATGTTTGGGGTTTTTGTTGCTCCATGCTGCAGCTGGCAGACTTTCCCTGGAGGCAAATAAAACAAACCGTGAGTTTTAGAAAAGAATAAAATAGAATATTAGATGAATTTTGTCATAATATTTAGTCTACAAAAATAAAATCCTAAACTTACAAGTTTAAAGTACTAATACTACTAGAGTAAAATCATGTCATTACGAGTTTAAAATAGTAACATGATGAGAATAATAATGCCATATTACAGGATTAAAGAAATAGCCCGCTTTAATGTAAACTTTAGAAATAGAGCTCCAGCTTCCCACTGAGTGCAGTTTGGGTGAACTTGGTTTGTAACCCTTTCAAAGTTTTCGTATTATTAAAACAACCTTCTTTGTCTCATAATACTATAACTTTATTCATCTAGTTAATAAAGTCTTATTATAGCCCTAAATAATGACTCTGAAAGAGTGAGTTCTTTTAACATTTAACAGGTGGAACTGTAAACAGTTCCTAATATTTTCACCAACACTCACTGTTGGAATGACTCAGACAGGGTTAATAGACTCTGACAATTCGACATTCTGAATGTTACTGTCTAGATCAATTTATATCACTTTACTGACGATGGCTGAAGCAGCTTGGCTTCAGATCAATTCAATTCAGTTTATTTCTATGGCACTAATTTACAACACGTCATCTCAAGGACTTTACAGTTCACCAAATCATCCAGTCAGATTGATTCAAAGTTTTCTATCTAAGGAAAACCAGTTGATTGCATCGACTCATTGACTCTTCAGCAATCCCTCCTATATACAGTCCTACACAGTCTAATTGAATGTTATTTATAAAATTATCTACATAAACTAGATTTGCGTCGACAGGCAACCAGATAATCATTATGAAGATGAATTTTTCTCTGAGAAGACATCATTCTCCTGCGTTTGGTCCTTGCTTGTTTTGATCAGAGTCCCCCACGGCAGGGGGACGAATCACTTGGACAACAGAAGGAAGATGAGACGGCGTTCCTGAGCTCATGCAGGAGCAGTGGGAAATAGGTGTGCGCTGCAAAAACGATCTAAAAATGAGCAAAAATGTCTTAAATCAAATTAATTTACCATTAATTTGAGGAGGTAAATAAGATAATTTGCCAATTGAAATTGTATTTTTAGTCTTAAAATGAGATATTTAGATAATATGCACTTCAAATAAGACAATGCAATTGTGTTTTCTTATTTAAATGTAAATTGTCTTGTTCCATTGGCGAGATGTCTCAATTACCTCCTAAATTCAAGAAAAAAAATGACTTATTTAGATTTCTATTTTTTGCAGTGTGAGCACAGTGGATGCGAGAGAATCAGAAATGGGACGAGGCGGCCAGCAGTGCCCCCCCTCTGGAGCTGAGGAACCAGAATCTCAGGAAGAGAGCTGAGGAACACAGCAGTAGATTGGAGAAGCCTGCTGGGCAAAAGAAGCACTGAAGGCCCAGACTGGAAAAAATCTAAATCTAGAAAATGTTTCTTAAAATAAGTGCATTTTTTCTTGAATTAGGGAGGAAAAAGAGAGACTTTGCCAATGGAACAAGACAATTTACATTTAGAATAAGAAAAAAACGATTGTCTTGTCTTATTTCAAGTGCATATTATCTAATTATCTTATTTTAAGGGTAAAAATACTCATTCCATTGGCAGATTGTCTTATTAACCTACTCAAATTAAAGGCAAATACACTTAATTTAAGTAATGCTGACTTATTTCTAGATCGTATTTGCAGTGCAGAGAGGCTATGGTTGGCAGGACGGAGTGGTCATCCTTCTACAGGTTCTTTGCGTCAAATTTGAAGTGTGTAAAAGAGTGTTTTTATCTCAAATAACCAATGGTAAATAATTAAGTTCACATCTCTGCAGTTTTAACAGAAAAACTGTTCTGATTTTTCATTTATCAAAACAAAGTTCACAAATTGAAACCCAGTCAAAATCAGTCCAGAACAGCACAATGAGGTGTTTTAATTTCTGAAATATCTTATTACCAGCATAACTCGTCCCTCTCATACTACAATGCAACAAACGTTGACCTCTTTTTAAATAGTTTTACACTTTAACCAAACTGCCAACATTATTTTAAAGCTACAGTGTGT